GTATTCTATATTTAGCACAGTTAACCACGGGCACTCTTCTGATCTATATCATAAACATGAGCAGAAAAACATCCACTTTTTCGGTCACATGATTTTAAAATTCAGATAAAAAAGAGAGAGAGCTTGATAACAATCTAAAGAATAGTTTCAAACCTACAGTGTTACCGTAATGTAAATAGATTTACACAGTCAAAGTCAAACTACAAATTTTAAAAGTTATATTATTTCCAATTTCCATTGGGTTTATATTGTAATCGTAAATTAAATCTCACCTGTTTCCTCAGCGCGATGTAGATGTGTTTGAAATCTACTGGATCAAAGTGCATTCTGGAAAACACTGCTAGTTCATCGTCAGATTTATACAACACTATCGGACAGCCTGGTCTGTAATTCTCATCCAACATAAGCTACAAACACAAATAGCATCATTATTCAAACCATTTTTGTAGTGTTTTATTCATCATGTCGCCGAATCAGATTTGAATATCTAAGAACAGCCAAACAGTTCAACAAATAAACATCACACTCAGCAAATAAACATCACACTCACACTGAATGAAATGGCAAGTTTAAAAACTGTAGAACAAAGTAAATTACAAAGATGTTACCCTAGAAAGATGTCCTCAGTCCAGCAAGCCTAGCATCGGTCCTATTTACACCCAAAATCCTTCTTTCTGTCACTCTAATTCATTTAGATAAATGCTTTTCTTATAAACTAAAGTCTTTCCTCACATCATTCATTCAGAAAGCAAAATGCATACTCATGGGTTGTTCTTTATTTGCAGTATTATTTGAGCAATGTGCTTTATATTTGACTAATACCATCCTAAATAAATTAATTGCAAAAAAAAAAAAAAAATCAGTCAATGAGATGTGAGTGCTGCTAAAAAAATAAAATAAATGATTCTTTGCACAGTCTAATTTCTTATTTGTAGGAAATCTGGTTACCAGGAATTCCAAATGACTTAACTCGTGGCTGAACTACCCTATGAGACATTATTTGGTAAATAAATGATGTTGTGACCCAAAATTTTAGCTACTCTGTTGCAGATCCATCATTTGAACCACATTAGTTATAATTTAAAATACTGTATGTAATGCTCTAATAGGCATGGAGTAACAACTTTTTTTTTTTTGTACTGTTTATATTGTTTACAAGCACACGCTTTTTTAAATTATTTTAATGCAGTATTACTTTTGATAAAACGTTAATATTGCATTAAAATATAATAAATAACATTAATACATTAATAATATATTAATTGAAACATATATTAACTGATTCTTATTTTCTTTTCGGCTTAGTTGCAAGAAAAAAAATCTTTGAATACAAATGACACAGGAGAGATATAAGCTTTTATTATCATTCAAAGTGCAAGGAGATGGGGAATAACTATGCTTCTAACTACAGCTCTAGAGGAGTACTTGCTAACGCATAAGTTTGCAATGCAGTTTGCGGATGTTCTTTGGAATGATGGAATAGGGAAACACCAAATTACTGAACCAAATCTTTCTAATGATGAAACTTGTGTCTTACCACAGTGTAACTGCAGCAGTGCTCCAGCCTTTTCAAAAGGAAGGATTGTTTTTTTAAGAAAGTAGAGAAAATAAAACATGAGACTGACCTTTATTAGTTGACCATCACTAGTTCCCATGAACAGCACAATCCAGGATCCACTTCTAACTGCAGCTACTGATGACATTGAGCTTGACTTGATGACCACAGAGAGTGGCTCTAGTTCACTGCCACTCTAAAACACAAATTTTGGGACTTTAGTGAACAGTGAAAATAAGTTTTGTCATGAAAAAGGTATCGGTGACTCAATTTCCAACCTCAGAACTGCACGTTTGTTCTCCTTGAGCGCAGAACTCTTTGACTCTGCCTTGAATGCGGCTGATATCATACAAAGCCAGCGCGGTGTTCTCCGGGTCCTGCTGATCCTGTGCACTGAACACTCCTGCCCAAATAACAGCCTTCTCTGAGGGAACAACAGCAGAGGAGACCAGTACTGGACGAGCTTTATCACTGCAGCACTTTATCACTGCAGACTGAAGAGATCTGAAGATTTCACTCTTTTTTCTTTTAAAGCTGTCCATCCACAGAACATGAACTTTCCTCTCAGAGTCAGTCTTTGTGTTGAGAAATAAGTACAAATCTAAGGACGAATCTTCTTGGAATCCATCAACAAACTCCACTTCTCTTGCGGTGGTTTGAATGGAGGGTGTCAATCCTTCCTCATTATTAGAGAAAATTCCACCAGCCTGAGTCTGTAAAGTGTTCCACAAGGTAGCAACAGGATATGGGAAATCTTGAGGTCTTGCAATGTTGTTGTTTTTCCCAACCAAAAGGTAACTACTGCTGCCTGTATTTACTATGAATGCAACAGATTTCTCATTCTGTGGAAGTCCTATTGATTTGACACTTTCATAGTAAATACTCTTTGTGATATCATTTATATCAAGAATTTCACAGTATCCGTTATTAAAAGTCCCGCATGTAATCAGGGTGTCGTTGTAGTCAAAAGGCACCAGAATGTTGACTCTGTTTGGATTAGTATTCGGGACTTCCTTGCGTTCCTCTAAAACAAGATCGTGTCTCATCTGTTGCAAATGACGGCCGGTAAGAACAAACAACTTATCGTTACTGATTTTAAAGTCATTGATATCTTCATTAAAGTCATGCACATCATTGCAGATGCAGTGCTTAAGAAGTAAAAGTATTCCGAGTAAATATCCTCTCATTTTAAATATCTGAACATGCAGCTTGTTCGGTCTGTCGGAGTAATTGATGAGATCTTGTCACAGTGATCAAATTCTCTCAAATGCCTCTGCAAATGAAGTGATGCAGGTGAAATCTATGTGGTGAGATGAGGGCGGAGGATTTAAACCTACAGATAAATTGTAGTTTCTAATGCTTAGGTTAAACTAGCTAAATTAATAACATAATTATATATTTTATCCATACATCATAGTTCATGTATAAATACTTTAAATTGTTAAATAAATTGTACTGTAATTTTCTTTATTTCAGTCTGATGGATTGTCTCAAATAATAAGTAATAATTTTGTAAATATTTATTTATTTCTGGGCTTATCAGTGCAATAATTATGACTTTGATGAGTTTATGAGTTGTTCTTAAAAAAAGTTATTTTTTCATAAAAGGAAATTGATAATTAAAACTTAACAATAGGTAAACTATGGGAAACCTTTAGAGTTTTGGCATGTCAGTCATCATTTGTTTTCTTTCATTATATATCAAGTGTATGTGTATTTTTAGTTGAAACTGAAAAAGTTATTTAATTGAAATAGTATTAAATTTAATTGAAAAGTAGCAAACAACATATTTTGGTGCAAGGCTTTTTAGTCATTTTTTCAGCTGATTTGGTCTTTGCACATTTCTGTATATTATAGTATTAAATATATCCAAAATAATGGTCACAGTAAATATTACAAGTCTGCACAGCAACAGCTGCACAAATTGGTAGGTGAGAATGTTTTAACCACAGCTTGCACAGGAAATACCATATGCATATAGCAAAAAAAAAAAAAAAAGTGGTAAGCATGTTGTGTTTGATAAAATTATTTCCCTTGGTGTTATATGTGATATGTAAATAGCTTTGGATATTTGAAAGCCTTTTTCTTACAGATAGTGAAGTACATTTGAAGTCAGAAATATTACCCACCCCCCCCCCCCCTTTGATTTTTTTTTTTTCTTTTTTAAGTACTTCCCAAAATGATGTTTATCAGAGCAAGAACATTTTCACAGTAGGTCTGATAATGTTTTTTCTTCTGGAGAAAGTCTAATTTGTTTTATTTTAATTAGAATAAAGGCAGTTTTTTAACAACATTTTAAGGACAATATTATTAGCCCCTTTAAGCTCTATTTTTTTCGATAGTCTACAGAACAAACCATTGCTATACAATAACTTGCCTATTTATCCTAACCTGCCTAGTTACCCTCATTAACTTAGTTTAGCCTTTAAATGTCACTTTAAGCTGTATAGAAGTGTATTGAAAAATATCTAGTCAAACATTATTTACTGTCATCAAGGCAAAGATAAAATAAATCAGTTATTAGAGATGAGTTATTATAACTATTATGTTGAGAAATCTGTTGAAAAAATCTTCTCTCCGTTAAACAGAAATTGGGCGAAAAATAAACAGGGGGGCTAATAATTCTGACTTAAACTGTATATATACCAGAGGTAATGTATTTATTTAACCCAAAATATATGTATTTATTCTGTTAAATGGTCAAAACATACATATACAGTATAATTCTTTACTCTAACGTAAGCAAATAAAAAGACCTAAATAAACAAAATTGGCCCCTTCAGCCCTAGCTTAAATCTTAGTTTGTTTTTTTGTTTTTTTTAGCTTTTTTTAATAGCCGTAATTTATTAGTCAATACATACACTGTAAAACCCAACAGTCAGCTTTATCAAATGAAATGAGTGTAGTTAAATCAACTCATTTGAAGAGAGTTTTGAAGTCAGTGTTGAAGGCATTGATGTAATTAATTACCTCAATTATTAAATACCTTATTATGTCAACTTAAATGAAGCAAGTTTACAGTCCTCGTATAGATTAGTTTTTAACTCAAATGGTTTGTTGCAATCAGTTTCCTCAAAAGCTTTAAGGTGACTTAACTCAATGGGTTATACAGTAATCAGCTGGTTTGAGTTTTCTTCATTTATTGGGTTTTACTTTGCTCAAATAGCTTCTTTTACTCAAATGGATTAAGTTTACACTCACAGTACTCATTTGGATTCGTGTTTGAACTTAAATTGTTTGTTGCAATCGGTTTCCTCCAATGGTGTAATATTTATTGAACTGATAATTTGTGGAAAAGAATTAGGCTGTATAACTGCAGCTTATTAAAATCTAAATGAGACTGGAGTTGGATTTTAAAATGATTACTGTCGGTTTCAAGAGACTGCAAGTGTGTGCACTGAAATAGTGTGTTTTTTCTGTGCTCGTTTAAGTAAAGACCAGAGTGTTTGCAAATAATTTGACATTTTAATGGTTATTTATAAGTAAGGAAAAACAGAGTGCATAAAATTGTCTTAATTTTGTTAAAGCTGAACATTAGTAATATAAAAACATTATATATGACAAATTATTTATACAGTTAATAACAAATTCAACATCTTAGAATAACACTTGCACAGTGGTATGACAATACATCTACATATAAAAGCCTACTGTATTATATACGCCAAGCATGATTTTCAAGCCTTTTTTCTTTTAATTTCTGCTGTGGGAGTTTCGTCAGAGTGTTTTCTTTTGCTTCTTTAAACTTGATCAGATGGGTTTTGATGTCTGAGGCAGAAATGTTTTGTACCTTCTCCCATCCTGAGAACAAAAGAATTTCCAACACTGATCTGAAAAAAAAAGATATGTTCTATTCATCAGGTAACTCAAACTCTCAAAGTTGACAATTTGCATTAACCTAAGAGCATTTGAATTTTAGTCCAACTGTTTTGTTGGGTAACATTGTCAGAATCTATGAGAGCAGATGTATTTACTTGTAAATCTCCATGTTGATTGGAACAGCAAAACAAAATAAGCAATGCATTGTAGTATTGCTATTTTCCAATATACAGTAGTTTTGTAGTCCATGTTACCTGCATGATACATGTTCTTTGGCATTACACTGATTACATTCTTTCCAACTGTATTTTGTTTTAGGAGAAGGAGGGGGTGATGGGGTTGTTTATACTTTTATACAAACAAAAATGTTTGAGTTCAGTTTGGCAATGCAAGCTAAGCCTCATGTTTATTGAAATTTTGAATGGACAAAATGTCACATTGTACTCAGAGCTGTTCACATACAAAGCTTCCACATTGTAGTTACCAACATAAAACTGTACATAACTGTACAAAACTGTGATAAAACCATCTGCAATGGCAACTACATCTATTTATTTATTTTAGAAATTGAAGCATTTTTTTTCCTGCAACGTTGTGGCTGAATAAAACTGCTTAAACTACTACAGTCTGACAGTGAGTACATCAGAGGCTCATACAAATGTGATTATTGGTGTTAAATGTTACCAGTATTCATTGAATTCTATTTTATAGGACATTAATTGTCATACTGTGACATAATTTTTGTCATAATGTGACGTTTATTGTCAAGTGGCAGCTTCACATATGGAAAATAAAATATCTATTATATAAATATCTTAAACATGCAATTAGAACTGTGACTCCAAACTAGTGACAGTCCCAACTGTGACCTATCCAATAACCAATAATATAATCTATTAAGTTATCAGATTATAGTTACTGTATGTAAGAAAACAGTTAAAACATGCTTACATGGAGTGAATCCACTGCTGGGGCGGCTCCTCTTTCTCCTTTAATTTAGCAAATAATAGCATTGGATTTAATCCTCTCCAAAACACACTCATACTCCCGATCTCCCTGTTGACCCGTCACGTTCACCTCACTCATACTCAAATTCAACTCATCTGTCTTTTTCTGAGAAAGTAGAAGAGACAGTTATCAATCATCTCTGCACAGCTGCCAGATTATATTCTAGCACTGCATCTTTTAGTACACAACAGTTTATTCAGTCAGTCTGATCACTCTTTACCTGAATGTACACTAGCAGGTCGTCAGCCACCTGAAATGTGGAAAATTGAGTGAACTTTGGATCAGGATGGTATGAGATATAATGCACACAGTCCACTGTGGAGTTTCCAACATTTAGCGATAAGCTTAATTGTCCACTGCCATCATAACGGGGGGAATGAATCCACATTTCCTGAGATAATAAAAATACTTCAATAAATGCAATGCTCACAATGTCATTAATGGGCATGAATGTTAATTAGGTAAATGTAACATTTATTTTACACGATGAAAACAATTCAGAATTTAGGGAACTAATATGAAAAGAGACACAAAACACCGCAGTTTTACAAAGAGTATACATAAACACAACAACCAAAAACAAAGTGGAATGAAGAAGAAATTTTAATCTGTTACTATGGTAACAAATGACAAACCACACTCTAAAACGTGTTGTTTGTTTAAACTACTTATTTAAAATGAGCTAAAACAACATTATTTCTTAGTTTTTTTGTGGAGTACAACCTAATTGTTTCATTTTTAATCCATTTAAATGAGCAAAAGCTAATAAGTTAACTTAATTTCATAATGTTGTCCCAACACAAATTGTGTGGAACTCAACATTTTTTATAGTGTAATAGTGAGAAAAGTGTATGTGGTCAATTTGATTAAAAATATTTACATTTTTCCATTTAACAATAAAAGGTGTAAAGGTGTGTGTATCATGGAATAATTATAATGATATGTACAGTAATGGTTTGATCAACAACATCTTCAAAAACACACAAAAAACAAAACAAAGATACACCTGATTATTATACATTTTAATTGAGGATTTAAATGCTCTTTAAATTTTATGCGGAAAAGGTACATTGACAACTTGTTTTGACCAAATGTATTTGAACACACTTGCAGGCAAAGCAAAGTAAAACAAGATATAAAACTATTTAAGCTCAAAAGGAACAGAGCTAGCTTCAAAATAAAAGTGTCAAAACCAAAAGGGAACTTGTGACTTATGCAAGAAGCAAAAAACATGCTAGCCCTTAATACGATAAAGTATGTTGTGGTTTATTAAATAGCACAGTTAGCATTTACCAGTTATATGAGCATATCAGGATGCATCTGCTAAATGAAAACTCATGCACTACTAGTGGGCAATTTCCTGTTTGAGGTTAACACAAATTTCTCCACCTACTGCACAAATAATAAACATCTTACCTCTGCGTTTGTGTTGTATTTGGTTTCCACCACTTTATTAGAATGGCAAACGTTAACTGACTCCACATATTCCATATTGGTCCCCTGAACATGAATCTTCCTTCCACCACTGATAGACAGATATAGAAGTTCATTGATTGATTGATTCATTCATTCATTTTCCTTCTACTTCGTCTCTTATTTATTAAAGGTCTTCACAGTGGAATGAATCACCAACTATTTCAGCATATGTTTTAGGAAGCAGATGGCCTTCCTGCCGCAACCCAGTACAGGGAAACACCCATACACTCTCACATTCACACACACACTCATACGCTATATAGCCAGTTTAGTTAATCCGGTTCACCTAACGCATGTCTTTGGACTAAGGCTGGGCGGTTAATCGAAAAGTAATCGAAATCAACATTCTGAACCTATAATCGATCTAATTTTTCCAAAATAATTTTTTAAATGAATTCCCTACGTTTCACATAACTCCACTCTGTTTAAGACTGTGGCTGATTTTTACTTTTGCGGCCACTTTGCAGCCACGTCTGATCTCCAGGCAAGTAAGACGATGAACTCATTGTTGAGCCTTATTTGCACTACATTGGCGATGATGCGCCAGAGATGCCTTTAGATGGCATATTAAACTTGTCAGTGAACTATGAGAGTAAAATAATTAAATAAATAAAATAATTGACCATTAATCGCAATCGAGTTAAAATGAAAGAAACTGGAGCACCCTGAGGAAACACACACCAACAGGTGTGTGTTTGCGTTTCTAGGCTACACAAACATTGTAATTTAAACCCAGATGGCAAAAAGCAGGTTGATTTTAAAAATATTTTTAAGGTCAAATGTGTAAACAACCTGAAATCTCACTTTTCATTTATTGTTACTTGCAAATGTAAAGATCGTTAATTTGCAAATCTTCACTTTTTCCTTATAAAAAGCATTCTTGTAAAATTTGTGTCAAAATAATCTGAAATGGTCTTACCTTCTCCAGCTGCTTCTAGGCTGTACTCCTGTGCATTTAGGCTGAGAACTGTAAATGATGTTGCTGTTACCATGACAAAGGTTGTCAGGAGTAACAACACACAGTTTTACTGTTCCTTTAGTTTCACTGGGAGGAATGTTGAACCTTAGAGTGTCACTTGAGCCATCAAACACTGGAGATCTGGAGGAAAACATTCATGCATATTAATGGTGTTAAATAAGTTTAATAAGTTAAATAATTTTTCCTTTATGAAGTGTAAATTTAAAATGTTAGGTTACTTTAATTAGTGAGCACATTTCATTAACATGTGCACCTATAATAAGCTGACAGATTGCAGGCTGGTTTACTGTACATCCAGTGTAACCTTAGGGGCAAAAATCTAGCTGCTAGTGTCCAGCAGTTGTTGCCGCAAACCAAGTTTGTGCAGCACTGATGGAAAACATGCAATTTTCTCAGTGTATTTGAAATTTGATTTCAGTCATCATACAGTAGCCATTCACAGTAGCTCTTAATTGTTGGAATTTTTGTCTTATTGGACACTTTTAATGCTTGTAAACTGTACATGTTTGCTGCATTCATAAAGTGTCCATGTCTTGAGGTCAGTCTGTCTGATGCAATTTTTTTCTATGCGTGATTTAATAGGATGGGAATCATGGGACTGATTATTTCACTTAGACAATCAAAGCAAAAAAATAAAAAATAAAAAAATAGATAAAAACCATATAGTGACTGCCGGTTTGAAGAAAAAAAGTGCAGATAGAGTACTAACATGTGCTCAAGTAAAGGTAAAATGAACATTTAAACATTAAAACTACTTTCTAAAGTACGATACCTGAGAAATAACACTCAGTTACAGTTATTTGAGTATTTGTAATTTGTTACTTTACAACGCAGAACATAGACATATTCAGGTAGTCTCACTCTTTAGCAACACAGTCTAGATCCCCTCTAATACGGATTTTGGTGACAGAGTCCAGGTTCCTTCCTTTTAGTAAAACGTTGTTTTTGCCATGGAAAGAAACCTTGTAAGGCTCTAAAGAGAGAATCTCTGGCTCCTACAAAACAACAATAGGATGCACCAGTAAACGTCCAAGGCACACAAACACACAATCTATTTAAGTAAATAGGTAAATATAAATGTACATAATGTATTTTTTTTATATTTAAAAATTTAAAATTGTGACAAATCATTTGTTAATAATGTACTAAAAGCAACTGTTTGTTTAAATAAAATCCTTAAAAGTGAAACAAATTCTTTAAATAAAAAGGAAAACTTTTATTTCTATTCTGTAAATTTGGCCATAAATATTCAGTAGTACACTTACTTTGTACCCAGAGAGTACATCCTTACATGCATCCTAAATATTAGGAAAAGAAAGAGAACTCTGAGCCATTCATTCAGTGCACTTCAGTCAGTGCAATGATCAACAACGATATAATATAAATTTTAATCTGTTTCCCAATATGCATATAATAAAGCATTGGATTGAATGAAACACATTGCTTCACCTGAATGTTTAACTGTAATCCACTTTCATGTGACCAATAACAGCGCTGGGATGAAGAAGACCAGTGACACCCAGATGAGATACACTGCACACACCTGTGAAAATGCACACAACAAGTGTTAATACCTTAAAAAGAGAATCTGCGTTAATATTCAGGTAATGGATTTAATTTTCTTACTGTGTATAAGAAACATTTGGTGAATTATCAGTGATACTGGAGCAGTTTGACAGAATCAGCATCTTTGTGATCTTCTGATCCTCAACAGTAACAGTAGCAGACACTTTTAAATCTAATTTTTTTTTCAAAGAAAGGTATATGAATATATATTATCATAACTTGACAACTTAAATACTCTGTTTAATATAATTTATACAATTTCTGGCACTGACCTTCAGTATTAACTAGCTGATCAGAAAACCTACACGAGCATTTTGGGAAAACTGCAGTCAGATCAGACTCGTCACAAAGGTTCACATTTCCATGGCTGAAGACACATGAGAAGGCAGGATTTCCTGTGCTCTCCAGACTCAAAGCAAGATGGAGAGTAAACTGTGCAGCAGAGGGAAATGGCTAATAAATAAAAAAAGTTATTATTTTCTTCCAGATAATAAGCAAAGATAATAATATCAACCTCTGTAGAAGATTTCTGTGCCACTTGAAATGAAAGCAACTCTGTCTGAAGAGAGTTTTTTGGAATGGACACCCATGAAGAATTTGAACATTTATCTTGAGTGGAACATCTAGAAAACAAAAACACTCATTTACAGTAACAATACACGGCTCTACAATAAGACATATCGTGCAGATGCAACCAAAAGGAACAATGTGAATTGTCACAAATGTGGCTGACCTTAATGTGTTCACACACCAGCCGCAGAGAGGATCAAGAGCAGATCTGCAGTCCATCAGAGTGTTGTATTTAGCACAGTGAACCACAGACACTCTTCGTATCTACATTAAACATATGAGTGGAAACACATCTATTTTAGAGTCAGTGTATGAGGTCAATGCCTTCTTAATTTAGTTTGACAAAATTTGTTTTTTTTTTTTGCAAAATTAGGTATCATATTAGTTTTTTTGTTTTGTTTTTAATCATGCTCACCTTTTTCCCCAGAGCAATGTAAATGTGTTTAAAATCTACTGGATCAAAGTGCAATCTGGGAAGCACAGCTCGTTCATCATCAGACTTGTACAGCACTGTTGGACAGCCTGGTGTGTAATTCTCATCCAAAACCAGCTAGATATACAAATCATAATTAACGACCTAAGTAGTTAAATGCAATGCTAAACATGATGGAACAACAAAAAATAAAACAAATAAAGTAATGTATCTAAGATAGGGAATTAAAGCAGACCTTTATCAGTTGACCATCACTGGTTCCCATGAACAGCACAATCCAGGATCCATTTCTAACTGCAGCTACTGATGACATTGAGCTGGACTTGATGATCACAGAGAGCGGCTGAAGATTACTGCCACTCTGAAACACAGAGAAAAATACACTTTATATAACCTAATTCAACACTGAAATCATCAAATACACATTCTTTTACAGTTTTTTTTTTTTTTTTTAAAGATGCCCATCACTTCGCATCCAACCTCAGAACCACACATCCTTTCACCGGCAGCGCAGAACTCTTTGACTCTGCCTTGAATGCGGCTGATGTTGTAGAGAGCCAGCGCAGTGTTCTCCGGGTCCTGCTGATCCTGTGCACTGAACACTCCTGCCCAAATAACAGCCTTCTCTGAGGGAATAACAGCAGAGGAGACCAGCACTGGACGAGCTTTATCACTGCAGCACTTTATCACTGCAGACTGAAGAGACTTGAAGATTTCACTCTTTGTGCTTTTAGAGCTGTTCATCCACAGAACATGAACTTTCCTCTCAGAGTCAGTCTTTGTGTTAAGAAATAAGTACAAATCTGAGGATGAAGCTCTCTGGAATCCATCAACAAACTTCACATCATTCGCGGTGCTTTGAATGGCAGGCTCTGATCCTTGCTCGGCATAAGATAATATACCACCAAATTGAGTCTGTAGAGTGTTCCACAATCTAACAACGGGACTTTGAGATGTTGATTGGTCGAGCTTTTTCCCAATCAAAAGGTATCTACTGCTGCTTGTACCCGCAATAAACGCTACAGATTTCTCAGTCTCTTTCGGTCCTATAAATAAATTACTTTCATAGTAAATACTGTTTTTAATGTCATTTATATCAAGAACTTCACAGTATCCATCTTCATAAGTCCCACATGTTATCAGGGTGCCGTTGTCGTCAAAAGGCACCAGAATGTTGACTGGATGAGTGCTATTATTAATGTCATTCTTCTTCTTCTCTTCAGAAAGATCGTGTCTCATCTGATACAGTCGATTTTCAGTAAGAACAAACAGCTTACCGTTACCAACTACAAAGTCTTTGATGTCTCCATCAAAATCCACCACATCACCACAAATGCAGTATTTCAGAAGTACAAGTACTCCAAGTAAGTATCCTCTCATCTTGCTAAATGTCTGAACATGCAGATAGATTGGTCTGCTGTAATGGATGAGATCTTGTCTCAGTGATCAACGTTTCTCAAATGCTTCTGCAAATGAAGTGATGGAAGTGAAAGCAACACTAGTAGGATGAGGGAGGGGGTTTAAAAGCTGATAAGAAATTGTATTCTTTAAAATATTGAATAATAAGTTGAACTATCCAAATAATGTCAATTTTTTTGCAAAACTAAATGTAAATTATAACTGAAGTCAAAATCTAAAAAATAAATTGATTTAGAAATTTACTGATGAGCTTACCACAAATCTAAAAGTCAAGAAAAGCTGTGTAGGGTGATTTAATGTATAATATAACAAATAATGCAGTGCTGCACATTTTAGTGGCGCGAAGATGAATTTATGTATTTTGGGAAACATTTGCAACCATTTTTTATCACTTAATTAAAGACACCACAATTGAAATGTCATTCAGGCATTATAGGCCTATTTCAGTAATATGCTGATCAAGACTGGAATAGGGAATCGTTTTTTTCTGGTCAGTAAGCCGCATAGTAATTTATAGTAAATACTAAATTGTTTTTGAACCATATTAAAGTGCTTGAATTTATTTGTGGTCATTAAAGTAGCATCAAATACAGTAACACAAACAAATAAACTGTACTGTTTTATTAAAAAAAATACTAACACTTGCTACAGTTTAGTAAAAATACAGTAGTAATTATTTGTTTATCAGTTTAAGATACAGAATTTAGTATCATTTATTAAAAAAAAGTTAAAGTGTTTAGTGAAAAAAAATTCACTTGGGTTTAAAAGTGTAAATCTACTAAAATGTATTGTAATATTACTCACATTGTTGTTTTAGTTTTTAAATTTTATTACAAAATGATCATGTAAAAATTAAGTAACTTTAAAGAATATTTCAAATTAAATAGAAAACAGTGTGCCGTGGTAGGAAGATACTGCCATCTACTGAAAAACTATTGTATTTAGCTTAGTAAACTAAAAAAGAGAACATTAAGATTCTGAATTAGTTTATTGCACTCAATCCAACAATTAAATGGTCTAGTTTGTTTTCTTTGTGTATTTAGATATGTGGATAAAGTCATCAGTAGTATATACTCACGCAAAAACCAAAGAACAAACTTTACTGCTGCACTTAAGAAAATTTCAGACAACAAAAATGAGGAGCATTGCTCAATCATTTTAGTTAATGGAGAAGTAATAAATATAGTTGATAATTTAAAATATTTAGGTATAATTATTGAGTTGATTCTACTTTAAATAAAAAAAATAAATAAAAAACACACATTAAGAAGGTTTCCAAAAGTGCTAGAGCAAGCCTGAGAATTTATAGAATCATTAGGCATCAGTTACTTATGGCTGCTGGTAAACTTTTTATAAATACAATGATTTTCCCTCACTTATCTTATTGTGCTACAAGTCGGTCCCACACGAACATTACAAGATTAAAACCATTGTATATTATCTATAAACAAACTGTAAAAATGTTAGCTAAAAAGCCAAGAAGCAATCATCATTATAACTGTATTGCACAACATAAATTACTAACATTCGACTGTTTCTTATTTTATGCTGATGTGTGTTTAATGTAAAAAAAAATAATTAATGATCTTGCACCACCACCCCTCAAACAATGCGTGGTTGACTGCAAGGACAATATAAGACAGACTAGGTTGTCGGTTAGAGGTGATTGTTTTGTTAAACTCGAGAGAACTGCTTTTGGACAATCAGTTTTTTTTCTGAAAGATGGAATAAAATACAAGTGCATATCAGGAGAGTAGCACTTTTAATCATTTTTAAACTGTTCTTAAAATTTGGCTATCAAATATGCAGCCACTGATATTATTTCATTTCATTGATAATGACGTATTGCATGTATTGGATTGTAAGTGTATAGTGTATTATTTTTATAACTCTGACACAACATGTCATCTTGTACATTGTCCCTGTATAAATAAATAAAATAAATAAAAAAAGAACAATCAGGTGTTTAATTATTTTTATTTGCGTAACTTGATGACCAAAACACACAGTATGTTCACTGGATAGAGGTTAAAATGACCGTTACAATATAATAATGAAATAGTGACTGATAAGAAACTAAAATGTTCAGTCTATTGTAATAAATGGCAGTCATAGCAGTGGCTGGGCAACAGGAAACAACACTTCCCTATTCCGGTCTCAATTGCCATATTTGTGAAATAGACCTATTGTGCAAAAAAAAAAAGTGAGGTTTATTTTAAAGTGTGAAGTATTAAATGTACAAAATGTGTAATTAAAGCTCAGATAAAACACTGTTGTATATCCAATTGGTTAATCAAAAGTTGCACACACACACATGCATTCTCCACACTTACTACAGCCCAAAACAGGAAATATACTGTGTCAGTAAACAAGCTGTCAGGTGCAGAGACTGCAAGTGTAATTATTAGAATAAGCCTGAGTGCAAAAAGGAGTATAAAGGCCCACATCACAGTTTTTGTCATTGCAAATGGGTGAAAAGAAGTTTGATACATCCAATGGTTTCCTATTAGGAAACATCCAGATAATGTTCACAGTGTTATGAAGGCGATTATTAGATGAATATGTTGATATGTGCTTCAATATTTCCTGTCAATGACAAAATAACAACAACAAAAACAAAAAAAAACATTACATCAAAAGAATATCAATAAAATTTTATGGTACACAATTGACTGCTTTAAGCAGCTTTAAAGTATTACACAACTAAAAATATTAACCAATTCCAAAAAGCTGAATAATTGGTTAATAAGTAGAATAATCAACAATTAGTCAATTACTTATCTTCGTAGTTGTTAAATCAACTGAATACATTATAGAAATAAAATGTAGCTGCAGCTTCGACAACATTTCATAAAGTATACATGGTGAAATATGCAGTACACTTACATTTGCAGAAATCAGTTTTGGGCCATACCAGTTTCATCTTAGGCATTGAATTTTATTGCTATTGAATTTAAATGTATGTATTTGGCTGTGGGATGCTTCTGTTTTTATGTATCTGTGTGCTTACAGTATGTGTGCCTATTCATTTAAACCAGACGAGACTTTTTTTTTTGTGGATTTCATTTATTTGCCATGATTCTAGTAAGCATAAACAGTGATAGCATGTATAGTAGATAATCAGCATAGCAGATAATCAAGTAATAAAATGGAATTAGCCATGATACATTAGAAGCATGCTCCTACGAATAATTGTGCTGTTGTACCAAATAGAAAATCAGTCAGCTGTTAGAACTAAGTGGATTGTTGTTTATACAGTCTATATTAAAAAGGTGTTTAACACCACCTGCTGGTTGATCACACATGATATTTATTTAATTTGAACATTTACCTTGAGAGCTAGAATGTCTAGAAGAAACACACACACACACACACACACACACACACACAGCTCTACAATAAGACATATCGTGCAGATACAACAAAGAGCAGAGATCGTGTGTGAAATGTCACAAGTGTGGCGTAATTCTGTGTGTTCGAACTCTTGCCGCAAAGAGGATCCAGAGCAGATCTGCAGTCCTTCAGAGGCTTGTATTCAGCACAGGGAACCACAGACACTCTTCTTAACTACATGAAACACATAAGCAGAAACACATCTATTTTAGAGTCAGTGTATGAGACCAGTGCTATTTCCGTTTTGTTTGACATAAATATTTCAACAATATTCTAAAGTTTGCTTTCAAACTTTTTTATTCATTCATTTTCTTTTCGGCTTAGTCCCTTTATTAATCAGGGGTCGCCACAGAGGAATAAACAGCCAACTTATCCAGCATATGTTTTATGCAGCAGATGCCCTTCCAGCTGCAACCCATCTCTGGGAAACATTCATACACACTCATACACTACGGACAATTTAGCCTACCCAATTCACCTGTACTGCATGTCTTTGGACTGTGAGGGAAACCGGAGCACCCGGAGGAAACCCTCGCGAACACAAAGAGAACATGCAAACTCCACACACAAACGCCAACTGACCCAGCCGAGGCTCAAACCAGCGACCAGTGAGTCGACAACACTACCTTCTGCGCCACTGCGCTGCCCACTTTTTCAAACATATATATTAAAGTATCATATTTGCTTTTTATGTTGTATTTTGCTGCTTAGTATGCTCACCTGATTCCTCAGAGCGATGTAGATGTGTTTGAAATCTACTGGATCAAAGTGCATTCTGGGAAACACTGCTCGCTCATCATCTGATTTGTACAGCACTGATGGACAGCCTGGTGTGTAATTTTCATCCAAAATCAGCTAGATAAACAAATCATAAATAATCATCTTATAGTTCAAATGCAATGCTAAACAAATGCTAAAAACTCAGAGACTACTGAAAATAAAGACATGTGTGTAAGATAGAAGTGAAAGGGACCTTTATCAGTTGACCATCACTGGTTCCCATGAACAGCACAATCCAGGATCCATTTCTAACTGCAGCTACTGATGACAATGAGCTGGACTTGAACACCACAGAGAGCAGCTGAAGATCACTAGCACTCTGAAACACAACAAAGAAAAATACTCTTTATATGACCTTATTGAACACTGAAATCATCATTATATTAAATAAAATTCCAAAAAGAAATGGCTATAACTCCATTTCTAACCTCAGAACCACACATCTTTTCTCCCAGAGTGCAGAACTCTTTGACTCTGCCTTGAATGCTGCTGATGTTGTAGAGAGCCAGTGCAGTGTTCTCCGGGTCCTGCTGATCCTGTGCACTGAACACTCCTGCCCAAATAACAGCCTTCTCTGAGGGAATAACAGCAGAGGAGACCAGCACTGGACGAGCTTTATCACTGCAGCACTTTATCACTGCAGACTGAAGAGATTTGAAGATTTCACTCTTTTTACTTTTAGAGCCGTCCATCCACAGAACGTGAACTTTCCTCTCAGAGTCAGTCTCTGTGTTGAGAAATAAGTACAAATCTGAGGATGAATCTCTCTGGAATCCATCAACAAACTCCACATCTCTTGCAGTGCTCTGAATGGCAGGATCTGATCCTTCCTCAGAATAAGATAATATACCACCAAATTGAGTCTGTACAGTGTTTCGCAATGTAACAACGGGACTTTGAGATGTTGATTGGTCGAGCTTTTTCCCAATCAAAAGGTATTTACTGCTGCTTGCACCTGCAATAAACGCTACAGATTTCTCAGTCTCTTTCGGTCCCAAAAATAATTTACTTTCATAGTAAATACTGTTTGTAATGTCATTTATATCAAGAACTTCACAGTATCCATCTTCATAAGTCCCACATGTAATCAGGGTGCCGTTGTCGTCAAAAGGCACCAGAATGTTGACTGGATGAGTGCTATTATTGATGTCCTTCTTCTTCTCTTCAGAAAGATCGTGTCTCATCTGATGCAGTCGATTTTCAGTAAGAACAAACAGCTTACCGTTACCAACTACAAAGTCTTTGATGTCTCCATCAAAATCCACCACATCACCACAAATGCAGTATTTCAGAAGTACAAGTACTCCAAGTAAGTATCCTCTCATCTTGCTAAATGTCTGAACATGCAGATAGATTGGTCTGCTGTAATGGATGAGATCTCAGTGATCAACGTTTCTCAAATGCTTCTGCAAATGAAGTGATGGAAGTGAAAACAGCACAAGTAGGATGAGGGCGGTGGTTTAAAACCTGCAGAGAAATTGTATTCTCTAATATATTTATTAATAAGTCAAACTATTAGAAGTCAAAACCGCAAACATAAATTGCTTTAGAAATTTACTGATGAGATTACCACAAAACTGAGGGTCAAGGAAAGCTGTGCAGGGTGATTTAATGTTTAATATTACAGATAATGCAGTGATGGACATTTTAGTGGTGCAATCATGAATTAGAGTATTTTGGGAAACATTTGCAACCACCTTTGAATAAGAGACACCACAATGAAAATGTCATTCAGGGACTATTATTATTATTTCCCAAATATGCTGATCAAGACTGGAATAAAAGAGTGTTTTTTTCAGTCAACCAGCCACATAGTAATTTATAGTATGAACTATATTGTTTTTGAACCATATTAAAGTGCTTGAATTAATTTGTAGTTATTAAAGTTGCAACAAGTAAAGTAATAAAAACAAATGAACTGTTTTTTAAAAAATCTATTATTTACAGTTGCTAGAGTTTAGAAATAATTATTACTTTATAAGTTTGAGATACAGAATACAGTATCATTCATTAACAAAGAGTTTGAAACCTTTTTTTCACATGGTATAAAAACCCCAAATCAAACAAAAAGTGCTCAAAGGTAGCTTAAATAATGTGTTGGTGCTCTTTGGGTAAAGGATTCATCAGAATAAACAATAAAAGTAAGCCCAAGGCACTAGAAATATGTGGAAAAAATTATAAAAAGCCTTTATTGGAATGGCTATTCCTCAAAACTGCACCTACACGTTTCAGCAAACACTTGCCTTCATCAGGGTAACAGAGATACAGTGCGTCTGGAGTTCTTTGGTATACTAAAGTCTCATGAATATCACAATACTAAAATAATATATTAAACACAAGGTCAACTCAAGAATCTTTATTAATTCAGCATTGAGGAAAGAATTATAATAGTAATAATCAAAAAGATAATGAGTGTTATACAACAATGTGAATGTATATAGAATGAAACCACAAAAAAAAAAAACTTTAGAATATTGTTGAAATATTTATGTCAAACAAAATGGAAATAGCACTGATCTCATACACTGACTCTAAAATAGATGTGTTTCTGCTCATGTGTTTCATGTAGTTAAGAAGAGTGTCTGTGGTTCCCTGTGCTGAATACAAGCCTCTGAAGGACTGCAGATCTGCTCTGGATCCTCTTTGCGGCATGAGCTTGAACACACAGAATTACACCACACTTGTGACATTTCACACACGATCTCTGCTCTTTGTTGTATCTGCACGATATGTCTTATTGTAGAGCTGTGTGTGTGTGTGTGTGTGTGTGTGTGTGTGTTTCTAACAGAATACAGTAAAACAATATATTAAACACAAGGTCTACTCAAGAATTATTATTAATTCAGCATTAAGGAAAAAAATTATAATAATGATAATCAAAAAGATAATGAGTGTTATACAACAATGTGAATGTATATAGAATGAAACCACAAAAATTGTATAAGCAAATAAACAAGTATAGTACAAATTGCGTTGGCCTTATGTTCAATATATTATTTCAGTATTGTTTAGATATTCTAATGAAAAGAAATACAGATACACTTGATCACTGTTACCCTGGTGAAAGCAAGTGTTTGCCAAAATGAGTAGACGAATAGCCACGTCAATAAAGGCTTTTAAATATATTTTTTACATTTTTCGAGTGCCTTAGACGTATTTTTGCTGTTTATTGTTTCACATGGGTTTAAAAGAGTAAATCTAGTCAAATGTATTTTAATATTATTTACATTATTGTTTTAGTTTTTATATTTTATTACAAAATTGTGAAATTTGGTAATTTTAAAGAATATCTTAATTTAAAAAGATAACAGTGTGCAGTAATTTAGTAGGAAAATGCTGCCATCTACTGAAATACGATTTTATTTAACTAAATAAACTAAATAAGAGGACATTATAATGCTGAATTAGTTTATTACACTCAATCCAACAATTTGATGGTCTAATTTATGCTTTCTTTGTGTGTGTGCATGCGTTGATAAAGTCAAGTGTGTAACTAATATTTATTTACGTTATTTGATGACCAAAGCACACAGTATGTTTACTGGGTAGAGGTTAAGGTTACTGTTACAATATAATAATGAAATAGTGACTGATAGGAAACTAAACTGTTTATTCTAATGTCTATTAGAATGAATTACAATAATAGCAGCGGCTGGGAAACAGGAAACAACACTTCCCTATTTTGCTCTAGATAACCATATTTGTGAAATAGGCCAATTGTGCAAAAGATGTGAGGTTTATTTTAAAGCTGCTCACACTCATGCAGTCACACTTTCTACAGCCCAAAAAGGACATATACTGTGTCAGTAAACATGTTGTCAGGTGCCGAGACTGTAAGTGTAGGTTATTAGGATAGGCCTGAGTGCAAATAAAGCTTTAAGCACTGTAGTGAAGGACTGTTTTAGAGCTACAATCTTAAAGTGCTGTAATGTGTGTAAAAGCCACAATATTATCACAGCTAGCTTCTTTGTCATTGCTTATGGGTGAAAAGAAGTTCGATACACCCAAGCAATGCTTTCCTATTAGCAAACATCCAAAAAATGTTCATGAAGCTTTGTTTAGATGAATAAGTTAATCTGTGCTGCAATCTTTCCTTTCAATAACACAATGAACACAAAAAAAAACAAACATAAAAGTTGGAAGAACAGCAATTAAAATTTTAAAATATGGATTTGGCGGTGGAATGTTTCTGTTTTTATTTATGTATCTGTGTTTACAAAATGTGTGCCTATAGTTTAAATCACACCAAACGCTTTCAAGTGGATTTCATTTATATGCCATGATTTTAGTAAGCCTATGCATTACGCAGTGCTAACATTTGGTTAATAGCAGATATTCAGATAATGGAATTTAACTGCCTATGATTCTTCTCCAAAATAATTGTACTGTGGTACTAAAAGCAGAACAGTAGTCTTGATTGATTGTTTATACAGTCGATATTAAAAAAGGTATATTACGCCACCTGCTGGCTTGATCTGACATAATATTTACTTATTTTTAATTAATTTACTTGACAGGCATACAGTTTATCTAGAAAATAGCCCTATAATGTTGTTGGTAAGCCTTGTGGCTATAAAGTAAAGCAATATGATGAATGAAAATATTATTATACATTTATTAGAAAATATGAGTACATGCATACACACATAGTTTTACAGTTTGATGAGACAAATCCATTAAAAATAATAATAATGTTTTCCAAGAACACAATACTTGTATACATTGGCTCCTCAGTAATTAAAACTTAATAAAAAAACATAAGTGTGGTAATTAAAACTAAAACATTAATGAAAAAAAAAATGGACATCTACAATGCACAAATCTGTCTTCAAAGAAAGGAATATATTTTAAATATTTTTTTCTTTTTCTTTTTTTTTTTTTTTTTTGCTAGGCACATGAAAACATTTACTCAATACTGAGTAAATGTTTTAATTGCTCCTTCCTACTTAGCCTAATGTATTATGTGGATTAAGGCAGAATTTTGCCCTCCCCATCATGACAGCATAACTCCCAATCGTAATCTGAAATCACAAAAGACGAGTAAAAGTTATATGTCTGAAAAGTCGCTAAAGAAACTATCGAGTCAAATTATAGTCTTATATCCATAGGTTTACCTAAGAATTAAAATGATCTAAAACAAACTTACAGTGATGGAGTCCACTCCAGACTGTCCTTTAATAATACAGATGATGGCATTGAACTCAATCCTCTCCAAAACACACTGATAAATCTGATCTCCCATTACATTGACCTCGCTCATGCTCAAATTCAACATATCTGCCTTTTTCTGAGTAAGAGACATCAAAAATGAGCAAAAATAATAATATTAATAATAATAACAGTGATTTTTTCATTCTTTACCTGAATGTTCACCTGTAGATCATTAGCCACCTGTAATGTTGTGAATTCAGTGAATACTGGATCAGGCTTGTAGGAGAAATCATGCACACAGTCTACAGTGGAGTTTCCAACATTCAGTGAGAAACTTAACTGACCACTGCCTTCATAACGGGGGGAATAAAACCACATGCCCTGTAAGAAAAAGAGATGATGAATAGCGCTAAAAATGTGAAGGATTGAATTCAGTAAAGAATTGTTCTCCATGATTATCTTGCTGATGTTTTTTAAGTCACAATTTTGCAAATTTATGAACTCAAATTCCTTCTCACTGTAAGATTGATTGCTAATATTTTCTTCTTCTTCATAAATGTGATGTCAAACTGTCATGCCTATCTGGTAAATCTAAAGCATGACTCAATCTAACATTTTATAAGTGAACCAAAAGTAAAATACCAATTCAATTCCCGGCAGAGAACAGTTTGTAATCGTGCCGCACCATTCCAGGCTCAGTGGAAAAACAACCGTAACCGTATTGAAGTGTTCTTAGAACGGTTCGGCACGATAGTGGACAAGCAGCTAGTGTGTTGTCAAACTGTGATGGACATCAATAAATCTAAAGCATGACTAATTCTAACTTTTTATAAGTAAAACTAAAGGAAAATAACAAACATCCATCTCCGTTTTAGAGTCACTGAATGAAAAATATTTCAAAACACAATCTCACTACATGAGTGAATATACACTGTTTGAAGATGCAGATGTGTCATGTCTCACCCCTGAGCTTGCGTCATACAGACTTTCCAGCACTTTATTAGAAGGTTGAGCAATAACTGACTCCACATATTCCATATTGGTCCCCTGAACATGAATCTTCCTTCCACCACTGAATATAGAGATATTACAAACAACTTCATAAACATGATTAAAATAGAGTATTAATATCTGAATTCAGCCCACTTGTATACACTTCTTATACACAAAGAAAGCAAATTACGCACAATGCAGCACATTTATGCAAACAACGGAAGTAAAACCTATAGGGCAAAAAGCTGCTTTTTTGTTTTTTAATAAACTAAAGGCTATTTTTAAGGTCAAATGTGTAAACTGCAGCTCTCAGAAATAAGACAACACTTGAAGGAAATGACCAGCAACTCTCACTTCTGCTTTCGTTTATTTCTGCTTGTAAAGGTCATTCATTTGCTAATCTTTTTTTCTATATAAAGAACATTCTTGTAAATGTTGTGTTAAAATGATCTGAATTGGTCTTACCTCCTCCAGCTGTTTCTAGGCTGTACTCCTGTGCATCTGGGTTGGGAACTGTAAGTGATGATGCTGTTGCCATGACAGCGGTTGTCAGGAGTAACAACACACATTTTCACTTTTCCTTTAGTTTCACTGGGAGGAATGTTGACCACTAAAGTGTCACTGGAGCGATTGAGCACTGGAGATCTGGAGGAAAACATTCATGCACATTTATAAGGTCTGAGTCTACACAGAACACATCACTGAACACAGACACACAGTCTCACTCTTTAGCAATACAGTCCAGATCCCCCTGAATACGGATTTTTGTGACAGAGTCCAGGTTCCTTCCTCTTAGTAAAACGCTGTTTCTGCCATGAAAAGAAACTTTGTGGGGCTCTAAAGAGAGAATCTCTGGCTCCTACAAAACACAACATGTTGCACTGAATAAAAGACAGCAAAGCAAAAAGAGGGGAACAATTCTATTTAAGAAGATGTATAATGTGAATATAAATTAGCCTTAAATTAAATGTATTAATTTAATCACATTTTAAAAAGAGTTATGATCATAATGCTAAAAGTAACTAAATTAGTCCTCAAAAGTGAAAGAAAATCTTCAAATCATTGATGGGAAAAAGAAAAACTCCACTTCCTAATATGTGAAGCTGGCCATAAACATGCATAATTACACTTACTTTGTACTCAGATAGTAGATCCTTACATGCATCCTAAGAAGTAGAAACGAGAGTTTAGTAGAAAAAGAGAAATTATTTCTTGAGTAAACGCTTCAGTCAGTGCAACATTTCCTATATAATAGTAAATTAAAACAAATTTTATTTCAAGTTATTCCCACTGTGGATATGATAAAGCTATGGATTGAATGAAACACTTTGCCTTACCTGAATGTTTAACTGTGGTTCACTTCCTTGTGTCCAATCACAGCGCTGAGATGAAGAAGACCAGTGACATCCAGATGAGATACACTGCACACACCTGTGAAAATGCACACAAGTGTTAGTACCCTGAGAATCTGCGTTAATATTCAGGTAGTGGATTTATTTTTCTTACTGTGTATAAGAAACATTTGGTGAATTATCAGTGATGCTGGAGCAGTTTGTCAGCGTCAGATTCTTTGTGATCTTCTGATCCTCAACAGTAACAGTAGTAGACACTTTCAAACCTAAATAGATTTTTTCAAAAAGATGTTTATGATTATAAAAATCTTGCCAATATAAATGCTCCATATAATTGCATATACACAATTTCTCTTAGGTAGCACTGACCTTTAGTATTTATTAGCTGATCAGAAAAATTACAGGAGCATTTTGGGAAAACTGCAGTCAGAGCAGACCCGTTACACAGGTTCACACTTCCACTGCTGAAGACACATGAGAAGGCAGGATTTTCTGTACTCTCCAGACTCAAAGCAAGATGGAGAGTAATCTGAGGAGGAGAGTGAAATAGCTGATTGATAAAAAAATTAATTCTTAATAAATGTGCTGATGTGACAATAAAAGTGATTTGATGTGATGTGATTTGATAACATACAAATATTTTAGATAATAGTATTAACCTCTGTAGAAGATTTCTGTGCCACTTGAAATGAAAGCAGCTCTGTCTGAAGAGAGTCTTTTGGAATGGACACCCATGAGGAATTTAAGCATTCATCATGTGTGGAACATCTAGAAAACAAAAACATACCACAAACTTTCACTTACAGCAGGGGTGTCCAAACTCGGTCCTGGAGGGCCAGTGTCCTAGAGAATTCAGCTCCAACTCTAATCAAGCACACCTGAACCGGCAAATCAAGCTCTAGCTAGACATTCTAGAAACTCCCAGGCAGGTGTGTTGAAGCAAGTTGGAGCTAAACTCAGCAGGACACCGGCCCTCCAGGACCAAGTTTGGACATCACTGACTTACAGGAATACCTGCACTCTGCTCTACAATGTGCAGATGCAACAAAGAGCAGAGATCATGTGTGAATTGTCACAAGTGAAGCTGACCTTTGTGTTTTCACACACCAGCCGCAGAGAGGATCAAGAGCAGATCTGCAGTCCTTCAGAGTGCTATATTTAGCACATTGAACCACAGTCACTCTTCTTAACTACATGAAACACATGAGCAGAAACACATCTATTTTACGGGATGTTTAAACCTGGTCACTGCATGTGTTTCTCATCAGACAGCTATCTGATCATGAAATGGAGAAACCCATTTGAGGTGGCAATGAATTCAATTGCTCAAACCTCCTCAGGAGGTGGCCTTGGACGCATTATAGACTAAACCGGAAATCTCTAAATGCATCTGGTTGTTGAAACCACGTATGTAAATTTTACTACTCCCAAATTGTAAAAAAAAAAAAAGCCTAGTAAAATACTGGCTATATGACATCAGATATAACAAAGCAAATGCAATAAGCAACAGAAACACCGCAGATAACAATTTGAGAGTCTTGTTTTGCTTTATTTAAATTTTTTTTCATTTTATTTTAATTTTGACAGTGAAACAATAAAATTTAAATGTTAAATTAATATCAAATGGCAGCATTAACAACAGACTTAGAACGCACATGTATGATCTGTGAAAAGAGAAAAAAAATGATGTCTTGCACGTATCTGTATGACAAAAACAGAATAAAGAAAATAGGGGTTGTTGAAGCCGCCCCCACCGACTTCCGTGCCACCCTCTGCAAGATGTCGCCCATTTCCCACGCATAAATCTGCCACTGATACACAATAATTTGCATGCCAAATAAGAAATGTAGCTAATGTTTCTGTAATTAATAAAATTAGCAGGTGTATCGGATGCTTTAGTCAACGTAACCTAGTTAAATTTGCATATAGTGCAGGATTTGATGATTGGATCATCTGTTTAGCGTAGTGTTTCTCAACCACGTTCTTGGAGGATCACCATCTCTGCACATTTTCTACATGTCTCCTTAACCAAACACACCTTATCATCAGCTTATTAGCAGAGACAGAAAGACTTGTAATGGGTGTGACAAAGGAGACATAAAACATGCAGTGTTGGTGGTCCTCCAGGAACGTGGTTGAGAAGCACATGTTTAGCAGATACGTATTTACATGATCAAATGTAAATAAAACCATTTTTACAAATCAGATATCTGATAAATCACATTAATTGACCAGGTGTGAACAGACCATGAATTAATTTACGAGGTCAGTGCCTTTTCCATGTTGTTTGAAATAAATTCAATTCAATTCAATTCAATCCAAGTTTACTTGTATAGTGCTTTTCCCAATGGTTATCATACCAATGCAGCTTCACAAAAAGGTGCACCTCATTACATTACAGTCAGTATCACAAAGTTAATGAGTTGTGAAAAGGGTTGACAGTATATACACGTACAACAATATTTAATGTCATATTTTTAAAATTAAGAATCAAATTTTATTATGCTCACCTGTTTCCTCAGAGCGATGTAAATGTGTTTGAAATCTACTGGATCAAAGTGCATTCTGGGAAGTATAGCTCATTCATCATCAGATTTATACAGCATTGTTGGACAGCCTGGTGTGTAATTCTCATCCAACACCAGCTAGACATACAAATCATAAATAATCATCTTATAGTTAAAATGCTAACGATGATGGAACAACAAAAAATTTTACTCAGTGAGACTATTGAAAACTGAGACGTGTGTGTAAGATAGAGATAAAGGAGACCTTTATCAGTTGACCATCACTGGTTCCCATGAACAGCACAATCCAGGATCCATTTCTAACTGCTGCTACTGATGACATTGAGCTGGACTTGAAGACCACAGAGAGCAGCTGAAGATCACTGCCACTCTGAAACACAAATTAGCCAGCTAATCATAGAATTTAATTAATCTTAGCTAAATGCATTTCACATAATAGGAACCCACTTGATAATTAAAAACGGCCATTTTCTTCATGGTAGTTGTTAAATATTAGTTTTATTCTATGTAAAAGTGTGTAAAATGTGCATACAAATGATTTGAAAACATTGTTTGATGGTTACCAACCTCAGAACCACAAGTTTTTCCTCCCAGAGCGCAGAACTCTTTGACTCTGCCTTGAATGCGGCTGATATCATACAAAGCCAGCGCCGTGTTCTCTGGGTCCTGCTGATCCTGTGCACTGAACACTCCTGCCCAAATAACAGCCTTCTCTGAGGGAATAACAACAGCAGAGGAGACCAGCACTGGACGAGCTTTATCACTGCAGCACTTTATCACTGCAGACTGAAGAGATCTGAAGATTTCACTCTTTGTTCTTTTAGTGCTGTCCATCCACAGAACATGAACTTTCCTCTCAGAGTCAGTCTTTGTGTTGAGAAATAAGTACAAATCTGAGGAGGAATCTCTCTGAAATCCATCAACAAACTCCACATCTCTTGCGGTGGTCTGAAGGAAGGGGCTTACTCCTTCCTCAACGTCAATAAAAATACCAGCAAATTGAGAATGTAAAGTGTTCCACAATTTAACAATGGGATGCAGGGAATATTGAGGTGTTATTTGTTCACACCGTTTCCCAACCAAAAGGTACCTACTGCTGTTTAACCCTGTTATGAACGCTACAGATTTCTCATTTTCCTGTCGTCCTATCCCTATAAGACTTTCATAGTAAATACTGTTTGTAATGTCATTTATATCAAGAACTTCACAATATCCATTTTTAATAGTCCCGCATGTTATCAGGGTGCCGTTGTCTTCAAAAGGCACCAGAATGTTGACTCTGTTTAGATGGGTGCTATTATTGATGTCCTTCTTCTTCTCTTCAGTAAGATCGTGTCTCATTTGATGCAGTCGATGTTCAGTCACAACAAACAACTTACCGTTACCAACTACAAGGTCCTTGATTTCTCCATCAAAATCCACCACATCACTGCAATTGCAGTATTTCAGAAGTACAAGTACTCCAAGTAAGTATCCTCTCATGTTGAACTGCTGCTGCTGCTGAACTGACGAGATCAATGTTGAACTGTGCTCAGAGGCGTTTGGTGAAGTAGGTGAAAGTGAAAGATGAATGCAATTGTTTTCTCAGTACAAGTAAAAGTAATACCCACACTTTACCCATTCATATATTTTACGTTTGTAAGTATTTAAATGATAAATAATTTGTTAACACTATAAAATAATGGTCCACTTGTTAATGTTAGTTAATGTATTCACTAACTTGAACAAACTATTAGTGATATATTCATTATGGTACTCATTCATCTTTGTTTACTTTCTTTAACGTTATTTAAGTTAAATAGCATTAGTTCATGTTAGTGCATGTTAACTTACTGTGCATTAACTAATGTCAACAAGCACAACTGTGGATATTAGTAAAATGTTGAACTATGATTAATAGATGCTTTCATACCTATTTAATGTTAATAAATACAATTCCATTTACTAATGGACCGTTCTTCTAAAGTGTTACCCATAAATCTACTTAAAACTACATCTTTTTCATAAAAATGTAAATAACAATCGTAATGAATGAGGAATAATCAGAAAAACAGAATCATTTCAGTCACTTAGTAGTAACCACTAAAGCTTCAACGTTAGACACTTTTGTGACACTTGTCTTTTTGCCCTGGACTGTTTGGGGATTAATGCCTGCCTTGACCTTTTGATTGTTTTATGATTTACTCTTTGTGGATTTACACCTGTTACATTTTTTAATCCCTGCTTGTCTGGCCATTCTAAAAAACAAACTGTTATCTCCACCATTGTCTTCATGCTCTTTTATATAGCGATTTTGTAGAAAACAACAACAACAACAACAATACACACACACACACACATGTATTTGTATCTTTATATATTTTTTTACAAGTAGCCTATTACAAGTAAATTTTCCAAGTAAATAAATGTAATGCCTCTTCTTAAACTATAATTGTATTAATAAAAAGGAGAAAAATCATATCTGTCACAGAGGTAAGCATTGGGTTTATCATTGGTTTATTCAATAATTAATACTAAAGTGATTAGTGTTTCTTTTATTTAAATAGCTAAAATAAAACTTAATTTCAACATATGCAGCAAGCTGTAGGGTAAAAAATGCAACGAAAATCGGTTTAAATGGATTTGTATAAATTCACATTTGAAGTTTTAAATGGATTGAACACAATAAAGGTGATGAAATGCAATTGTGAATAAGCTTATTTTAAGTTAAATGACAAGAAGCAGTTTCAGTGCAATTTCAATAGTTTTGCATAAACTTTCATAAAAAATATTTTGTCAGGCTGTGAAAACAACACCAGCTTTATGATCTTGTCCACTGTGTGCTTGCCATCAGTTGCTGAATTTAAATATGCATAAGAAACATCTTGTTTATTATTAGTTTGTGCATTTCACTCACCAGTGTTCAATTGTGTTGACTGAACATTTCTCAAATAAGATAGCACACATGCTCCAAACTATTGTGAACACACTCAGGAGTATATGTTTGGCTTGTAATAAAGTAATAACATGGTTAATAATGTTCAGACAGGCCATTTTACTTTATAAAACATCAACGTACAATCAAGAGCTTTTTTTAAAGTCTTAAACTGCTGGTAACCATTGACTTTTATTTTTGTGAATAACCAAGAACCAAGGTTTCTGTTGAAAATATTCTGCAATATCCTATTTGAAAAGAAAGGTTTGAGGGTAGGCAAGTTAAAACTTTTTTTTCCCCCAATAGCTATGTTAAACAGCCTATTGATATGGTTTGCACTGCCCATTTATGTACTGTTATTTTGCCTGTAGATGGTGACAAACCTCAGCCTATCAGCACTCTGTACAGTGTCTATTAATACAAGTGATTGATTCCATTATTACATTGAGCTTATCATTATAATATGCTCACTTCAAGAAACTGCCATCTGAAAGTTTAATGTGTAGATGCTGAAATTGACCAGAGCTCGTTACAAATGGTTAATTTTGTCCAAATGACAATCTAATCTCAATATGAAGCTGTTTCATACCACAAGGGTGCAGCATTAAACCTAAAAACTGCTAAACTACGCAAAAAAAAAAAAAAAAATTATTGAATATAAAGTGTGCAGTCAATGAAAAAGTCAAGCTTTGTTTTTATCACGCATTTTCTTTTGTGCTTAATCATTAAAAATGATTCATAGCTATGTTAAAACGTACAACACATCTACATCTCGCAATCAGGGCAGATTTGTTGGCGTGTTGCGCGGAAGTTTCTCTGGCATCATCAGCCGCTGCTTTCACTTCCATTTACTTCAGCAGCAGCAACAGCAGCGTATCTGAGAGCAGTTCAGCAAACTTCAGCTGCTCTTCAGATATGCAAGATGAGAGGATACTTGCTTGGAGTTATTGTATTTTTAAAATACTGCATTTGCGATGATGTGGTGGATTTTGGAGAAGATATCAAGGACTTTGTAGTTGGTACCAGTAAGTTGTTTGTTCTTACTGAGAATCGGCTGTATCAGATGAGACACGATCTTTCTGAAGAGAAGAAGAAGAAGGACATCAATAACAGCACTCATCCAATCAACATTCTGGTGCCTTTTGACAACAACGGCACCCTGATAACATGTGGGACTTATGAACATGGATACTGCGAAGTTCTTGATATAAATGACATTACAAACAGTATTTACTTTGAAAGTAAATTATTTATGGGACCGAAAGAGACTGAGAAATCTATAGCGTTTATTGCGAGTACAAGCAGCAGTAGATACCTTTTGGTTGGGAAAAAGCTCGACCAATCAACATCTCAAAGTCCCGTTGTTACATTGCGAAACACTGTACAGACTCAATTTGGTGGTATATTCTCTTATTCTGAGGAAGGATCAGATCCTGCCATTCAGACCACTGCAAGAGATGTGGAGTTTGTGGATGGATTTCAGAGAGCTTCATCTTTAGATTTGTACTTATTTCTCAACACAAAGACTGACTCTGAGTGGAAAGTTCATGTTCTGAGGATGGACGGCTCTAA